ATATTTAGTGAAAAAACTTGGGGGCAGAGTTGGACTTAATCTATTAGTGTTTCTTAAAAGGCTAGGAAAATTGCTTCTATTGGGAAGCCAGAAGAATATAATGGCAGTCTATTGTAATATAAGACTGAATAATCATTTTTTCTCCTATGAAGTTCTTTTCTACTGATAAAAACCCTTTATGTGAAAGTACAATTGATCAAGTATTAGCTTGAATATAAATAAAGACTCTATACTTTCAAAAATAAATAAAACATGACAACAATAATAACAGAATTTACTGACGAATACTGATGGTTCAAGAAGTTGAGTAACTCCTCTATTCTTTAAAATCCCAAGTAGGGGGGCTGGCAAGTGGCGTAGTTGTTGAGGGCACTGGACTCCCACATGGCAGACCATGGTTCAAGTCCCGGACCTGGTGGCTTGCTTTCTCACTTTCTCCCTTTCTGTCCCTCTCTGGTCAAATAAAAATAAATAAGTAAATAAAGTTAAATAAAATAATTCTTAAAAAAAGAAGATGCTGGACACATGCCCGGCGTTATTAAAAAAAATAAAAATTAAATAAAATCCCAAGTAGCTTCTAATTGTGCACTTTTTTTTTTTTTTCAAATTCTATGCCTGAAGAGTCTAATGCCACTCAAAGTCATGTTCATGCTGAGAGCAGAAAACCACTCATTTCCCAAGGCATTCCATTCTGATTAAAGATAAATCAAAATTCACAAATAGTAAAATGTATGTAGTTAGCTATTCAGAAATGAAATGTTAAACTTTAGACCTTCAAGTATAACTCTTCTCAGAGAGAGAACATTAAATTCATCTTGTGCATATTTAGTCAAAAAATCAAATGCTGAATTTTGAGTGCCCGTCACAGAACTTAGAAGTCAAGATTAAAATGTTCATGACTTAAATAACTGCATCATGGAAAGCTGTAACAGATAGCATCCACTGAAAAGAAGTTATTTCAAAGGTTTAACAGGCAAAGAAAGTCTAGCAAGAATGAAGGCCAAGATCAAAGGACCAAATCTTTACTATACCATGTGGACAAATGCCTGAGTGTTGAATCATAATGATGACCTTATAGAACCAAACCCTAAGATGATCCTTTACTGAGCTACCAATGTAAGGCTTCATGCTTTCTCTCTTTTCATTTAGTTTTCCTTCTTTTCTTCTCTCCTCTGATGATACATGTGTACTAAAAGTCCAAGCAAAGGAGACAGAGTTATACTAGATTATAAGTGCCATTTTCTTCATACTGAAGCACAAATACCACTTAAAAATGCATTTTAATTTATGTTTTGATAATATTAAATCATACTTTGAATTACAAATAAAATTCAAATTAAAAAATCAAACAAAGCAGCTGTTTCAATTCGTCTAAATATATGGCTGGCAATTTTCCAGAAGTGAAAAAGGGGCCTAATATGTTCCCCTACCCTCCACCTGAAGAGGCTTATTATGAAGATTCACGAGTGAATCTTTGCTTTGTGTCTGGGGCCACTGGCTGCAAGGCACCACGTTAGTACCATCTATTTGATTACTGAAATAAGACACGACTGGCTGATTACTCTGATTTGCTGATGTTGACTTGTGGTTTCTCAGACGGAATACAATATTTTTGAATAGTCTCAATGAGAAGGCTGTCTGCATGGGAAATATTTCAAAATGCAAAGGGTCATAATATATATTGAGAATTTACCTTTAAATTTCTGCACATTTCAATAGTAGAAATAATATGTACATATTTGTAGATAAATTTCAAGAATCAAAGAAGAAAGAAATGGCTATTGGGTTCAGAAGTACTCCATTAATTTGGATACTTGACAGTTGGGTGTTGAGTATGAACTGATTTCAATTAGAAGACTGCCTAGACATAATCAAATAAGATTGCTACTTGAGTCTTTTGTTATCATATTAATGTAGGAGATTCTGTACGAATTAATAATAGTTCAGTATGCCCGGAAAATATTAAGTTTCAAATAAGATACAATTTTAGAGCTATTTATTAAATATTATGTTATAAATTACTGACTCGAAGATGTTTTGGTTTTTAAAAAATCCTGCATATTTGTTTTGTACATAATGCAAAAGATAAGATGATCAAGTCTCCCAAATTTCTGTGTAATTGAAATGCTAAATGAATATATGACTTACATTTTTGAATCTTATAAAATGTAAATGAGCAAGAGTCCCAATCTTGATCACATTCAAAATACACACACTGTGAAAAGAATTTGATAGTGCAACAGAAAAGCTGTAACCATTCCTATAGCATTATTTTTTATTGATTATACCAAAATATCCAACTAAAAAGATAAGTATAATAACTAAAAGGGCTAACATTTAATTACAGTAATATGTAATATTTTTTAAAGAATGGAGGGCTAAAGCGACCTGTCATGAAACTGTTCATTGAAAATCCAAATAAAATGAAAAACCAGCTCTGGAATAATTAAAGACAAACTTGTCTCTCTTATGTATAGATTGAAATTGTTCCTTAACCCTTCACGAACCTTACCCTCAATAGTCTTACACCTGTATTCAATTAGTTTGGTTTCAGGCTAGAAGCTTTAGGCATATTTTCTGTTTAATGAAAGAACATTTGCAAACGTGGTAACATCAAGAAATGGCCAGATTTGCTGTACTTTATATTATCATTCCAGTTTATTTTCCCTGTTTTTCTAGGTCCCATGTTCAAATACTTGTCCACTCAAATATACGAAAACATATTTATCAACTTTTTGCTGTCTTAACCATAAATTTCTTTCATTGATGATTTCCACGATTATGCTTGAAAAGCTAGGATACCTATGTGGATGTGCAAGTGTGTGTGTGTTCACATGTCTGTGTGTGTGTGCACTGCCTGCACATTTTTGGTCACATTCTGCTTGAGTGAATATACAACACTGTCTTAGTTTAAATGAAATGAGAACTCAGTTTTTGAACCTCTAGCCAACCCTAACACATTTGTTCTCAGCCCCAAAGAAATACAGGACATATGACTCCTCAATTTTTCCAGAGATGAAATGTTACGAGTGTAACTTTGAATCATCTGGGATTTATTTAAATAGCAAGGGTACTCTTTACATAATAAGATTATCAAATCTTGTTCACACATCAAGGAGTCATTATCTTGTTTATGAATTCCTTACCCTCAGCTCCTTCTCTTTCTCATGTCCCCAACTTCAGCATCTGAGCAAACTTCCTGTGTTATTACACAGCTTAATTTTTTCCCCTGCTAAGCATAATCAGGAAGGTATGTACTTAGCATGACTGCGGCAACTATTATCTCAGGAGCTTTATTTTGTTCTTAGAATGTCAATGGATAATTCCATGCAGCTCCTTTGTGGGCAAGATATTTTAATAGATAAGAACTGAAATGACAGAAGGAAATGTTGACCAAAAATATTGACCTGAAGAGAGGGCAGGTCTGGAGATCCACAGAGTCAGTTTTCCAAATGGCTTCAGAAAGTTACTTTGAAAACATTATCTGGAGCAGAGATTTCCAGACTTTCATTTGCTTACAAATCACTGAGGAGGGGGGGGGGGGG